TGTGTGTGTGTGTGTGTGTGTGTGTGTGTGTGTGTGTGTGTGTGTGTACACGTGTGTACACATGTATGTGTATTTTAGCTGGGTGTGGTGGCACACCTGTAATCCCAGTGTACAGCCATCCTGGGCTACAAAGTTAATTTCATATCAGTTCTAGCTGCAGGGGTGTAGTGTGTGGCAATAAAAAAGGTCATTTTTCTGTTTATCTTTCCAAATAAGTAGATTCTCAGATAGATTGATGTTACAATTTAAGAGTCTTTCTCCCAATTAAAAATGATATTCTGATCTTCATTAGGGTGTAACTGTTACAGAACAGAAATACTTTTTCTTTTTAAGACAAAATGTTCCATTTGAAGAATATACAAGGCTTCAAAAACGACTGAAGGACATACAGAGAAGACATAATGAATTTCGAAGTCTGATTTTGGTTCCTGACCTGCCTCCACCAGCCTCGCTCCATCCTGCTAATTTTCAGTCGTCAGCTGTAGTTCCTGGAATGGAATTCTCCTTTCCTCCTCATATGCAGGTATGGGCATTTTAGGAAAGAGACAAAGACTTCTGTCGGTTTTTTTTCTTTTGTTTTACCAATATAGAGTTAAAATTCATTTGACGGCAAGAAGTTTTACCTTCTTTCTTTTCATTTACTGTAGAAATTTTCTGAGTAGATTCAAATTTACTCTGCCCTTCAGTGATGATTCTGGGAATAAGTTCTCATATTTGCTATAGACAAATAACATGTCTAGTGAGTCTTCATGTAGCCTGGATTTTGTAGCTTAAATACATACAGCTATCAAGAACTTACTAATGCAGCACACTGCATTTCCATATAAAATTTTAATAGTAGTGAGAAGTGCTTGGAGAGAAGACGCCACTTTTATCCCCGGTTCATAGCTGTGCTGACTTGCCCAAGGTCCTGGCTGAATACATGACAGTTAAGCTTTTGCCAAACCTACATCTGTCTGATTCCAGAGCCTTGGCTCCGAGATTTGACTGGATGGTATTCAGAAGACGGACTTTAAGTAACTGTTGTACAGTGTAGGCCAAAGAGGTTGTCATCACAGAACTGAGTCTTAGGCCAGGTGCTGCTTTAGTAAATTACCGTGCTGTCCCGGGCTCGTCTGAAAGCTGCCCGCTGTGTCTACCTGTGCCCTGCCTGTAACCCCCTCTGACTGCTTTCTGGCGGATTTTACTCCTAGGGAGGAACAGACTGGGTTTGGCTTAAGGTTAGAGCCTGAGGCAGGAGAGAAGGGGGACTAGTTAATGGTTTCACCCTTGCTACTCTGGTTTTAGACTGCAAAAGTGGACATCATTTCTCAGCCACATTGTTGGAGGCCTTTATATGAGAGGCAGATGGCAAGCGCTTTCCTAGTTGCTCTACGTTTCTGTTATGTGTCATTTTTAAGGAGGAACAACATCAAAGAGAACTCTCTCTACTTCGCAAAAGACTGGAGGAACTAGAAACCACACAACGAAAACAGCTGGAGGAACTTGGCTCTCCTGGGGAGTGATGCTGAAGAAAGGCCAAGCCAGGAACTCAATAAAGCATGAGGTTGAACAGGTGCCATTGAGATGCTTTGTTAGCGTTTGTTTGCCTCGGGGAAAGGTCCATGTGCCGCACTGCATGGGCTCCGGGGTTGTAGGGTTATGGTAACCGAAGTCAAGTGTCTGGAGTTTCAGATACTTAGAGCACGTGTTGACAGTACAGAAGAGAAAGGGAACTAACTAATTAAGGAATCAAGTTTTCATATTAACAATTTTTATTTTGTTGAATTTTTTTTCTGGCATTTTGCCTGAAATATATGCCTCTTGAATTCCTTTTTCCTTGTCTTTGAGATATCTGTTTGGCAATAACATGATCAGTAAACATCTCCTTTATTGTATACAAAACAAGAGTTTTGGGAAAAGATGACCATTTAAAAGTATAAAAAACAAAAATTTCTAAATATAAAAGTTTCAAAATATATGTTCATTATAGAAATCTTTACCTTTCTAAAAGCTGTGCACTTAATTTATTAAATAACTTAATAAATATTTTTATATCTATGCTGTTTTGTGTTTAATTTCAGTGATCATATATTATATACTAGACAATTGATGATTTCACTTCTTTTCACTTTGGTGAGTTGGAAGTTTTAGAAAATTAAGTCCTATAGCTGTTTCTACAAAGGGCTTTGTTGATCTTACTTGACGCAGTGGGGTGTTGAAGGGTTGCTGATATTTAGTTGTGTTTCTCACTGGTTAGGACCTAACCACATACTTACGTTTTATTCACTTCATTTTCCACTGTGCACCCATTGGAAGCTTCTTTGTGTAGCATGTTTTAAAGGAATTCTGCTGGAATAATTTCCTATCAACAAAGCAAAGCTCAGCTCAAATTTATGTGGATTTTTCATTATTCAGAAGGCTTTGCAGTCAAAAGTCCAAGTTGATCACTGAAGACAGGAACATAATCAAGCCGCCCTTGGCATCATTTAGCAAAGAGCCAGATTTCATTAATGGAGCTGCTTATTTATGTGGAATATACAATGACATCTTGTTCTTGAAAAGTCATTTCCAAGGAGCAACTTGGAGTAAGAAAGACAAACAATCCACAGTTGTTACATCAAAATGTTTATTTTTGGATATAGACATTTAAAACATTCATCTCCAAGAACAGCTTCAGTCAGGGTATACAGTAAGAAATAGACTTTAAATCCTAATACAGAAAAAGGAACAGAAGTCATTTTTAGATGCTGCTTTAGACACTAGTGTTAGAAAAAAAGTATAAATTAATTGTTTTGCACCAAAAATATGCAAAGAAACTTGAAAATAGATACTGTTTGTCATCTGCTTCTTGAGTGGCTGTTTAATATAGACCCAGTGACTGATTGTCTCCAGCACACATCTAATTTGGACATTCTCTGCATTTGGCTAATGCCATCCAAACTGTGATCTAGATAGTGCTTTTCACTGGAGGATTGACAAACACACACGAGTGACTCTTCACACCACCTCAGTGAGGTAGGCTAGAAATAGTACACAGAAATTGAGGCACGAAGAGGGAAGTGATTTGCCCAAAGTTCCTAACTCCATACAGGACTCATGCCGTAGAGCTGGACAGGGACACCCTCGTGTAGCATTTAGTAATACTTAGCTAAAGCTGTGGCTGAACCTTTGAGTGTTCTGTTCCCCAGAGAAGGGAAAGTCTTGTTGGGCAATTCTCCTACCCTTGGCTCTCAACTTCTCCTCCAACTTTTCTCTTAGGAAAGCCTTCACCTCTTTGAAGACCGTAGCAGCTTTAAATGGGGACCAGACCTCTCACCGTTCTACTTAGAAATAAAGTATTTGGTAGTTTTGAAATGTGTCCATTGGACAGACAATGGTCACAAGAAACAGGACTGGGAAGGTGCCTATCAGGACAGTGCCGGATATGGAGTTGTTACCTCTCTTATACTTGATCGGCTGTTAAGGAGCAAAAAGGATTGCATTTACCAAGACAAATTCCCATTCCATTCTAGATGGTCCATACAGTGCTGGTAAATAGTTCTAAGGAATGTGTGCTCAATGTTTTATTTGCTGATTGAAAGAAATTTCCTTCCTACAGTGGGGGTTTGGAAGAGCAAGGGTAAAAGGTGCCTGCCACAAGGGAAGTGAGAGTTCTCAGGTTCTACTCTTTACTGCTGTTTAATAGAAAGAAAACACAGTGGTATTAAAATTGGTCATGAGCAGCAAAAATTTGGGAATAAAAAAATCAGTAATAAAAAAGACTACATTTATAAGTGGATAGGAAATTCTTTGAAAACAAAAAGAGGCACGAATAAATGAGTATTTAAATCTTTCTCCTGTAAGGAATACTTTCAAAAAGTACATAGTAAGACTAAGATACCAAGTTGTACTAATCTTTTCCAGGCCTTGGGCCTCAAATATATATTTATATATAATACTCCAATGTGAACAACAATTTGATGAAATGTAAAATGTATCTTTTATTTTAACCACACACAAGTATTTATAACCACAGGGTTCACCAGAAATCTAAAGCAAGGAGACACTAGCATAGAAATGTAAGATTACAGGAGCGACTTACACGTCCACGTACAGTTCTGATCAAACAGAAGTAAGCCATGAACTCTTTGCTTACAATACCCGACATGTCCACTACCAGATACAGGAAAAAGATCAAACGGGAACGGAAACGCACAGTAGGACAGAGGCTGGAAAAACTGCTGTTGCATTTCAGTGAAACCCACCCACTCTCCTTGCTTTAGAGCTCCTTGGATGAGATGGAGGGAGTCGATGAGTGCAGCTGGCAACCACTGAAAAACACGAGCCCTTTCAACAATGTTGCGACACTGTTAGTTTTTGGTTTAAACACACACACTCACGAACGCTAAGTGTACACACTACCAAATTCTGCCTTCAGCTTTTCCAAGAACTACCGGGGAAAGTGAACGGTGCAGATCCTCAGGGTTGCCCTAACACCCCCACCTTGTTTCCCAACGACTCATTCACATTGTGAGCATTGTTAGTACCCCCTGTCTTCTGCAGAAGTACAGTGTGGTCACAAGTGCTACATCGCTGTAGTTTTCCAACCAAACCACTTGGCCATCATTGTGCTTAAGTGGAGACTGTAGTTACAATACCAACACTTGCTTACTGGCCCTGTATTCTCTGTAAACAAGGAGGCTGTTTACAACAACCACTTCAGCTCTATTTACAGAAGGGTTCCCACGGCCTGCCCACAGGCACAGCGGTTGACAGGCTTTCCAAAAGCTGTGCATGTGCGGCGCCTCGGTCTCGTAAAAGACAGCGCTCGAAGTGGAACCCATGTGCAAACTTAAGAATGGACGACAAAGAGGAGCTCAGGCAGCCGGGGCGCGCCCAGGCTGTCTGAAGAACAGCTCTGTCAGATGAAGCCAGGCCCCCAGGGTGCTCACATCCACTTGCATTTCTTCTTCTCGTCAAATAAGACTTTGACATGCAAGAGCTGTTTCTGCGCTTCTTCCAGCCCTCGCTCTCTTTCTAGTTTATTTAGAATCTGTTGACAATTAGAAGAGTTACCTTACATTAGAGTTTTAGCATGACAATTCACAGTTCTGGGGGGCTCGCTCTTTCTTTCTTTCTCTCTCTCTCTCTTTTTTTTTTTCATTCCTGATGCTGTGAGTGGTAAAAATCTGTACGAAACAGATGCCAGCATTTTCTTCGATCATTTCCATACTCATTCTGCAAGTTGTTTTGCTAAGTCATGATCACAGGATCAACAACACTTGGGCTTGAAATAGAAGCCCGCAAGAAATACCAACTATTTGCTTACAAATATGGGGCCAGACTCCCAAGGCCCTGCTCTATGCATCACGTGACAGCCATTCCAAGCACAGCAGGCATCCCTGGGCAGCCAGCATGCAGGCACAGATTCCTCATAATGCAGCAGGCAAGGGCATCCTGAGCAGAGATGGAGTCTCCCATCTCTTTCCCTCCCCTCCCCAGGGCTCCCCTTCTCACCCTTGGCAAGGGATGCTTATCATGTGTAAGGAGCTCATTGCCTCTACCCTACCTTAGCTCTTCACTTGATCTTCAAGGAGCAAATGGAATTGGTGAGCTATTCTCACCATTGACATGGATAGCCTGTCCCAGCATGACTGAGTGGGGGGGAATCAGGGAAGGGGGAATTAACATATATTTGGAAACAACGGATCCAGATTAAGGAGAATCAATCATAAAGGAGAATGGTAGTTCCTACTAATGGTCCTAAAAAGCCCGAATGAGAACGCTGTTGTCTTGATAAGTTGCGTAAGTTAGTATATCATGATTTCACATCAGCATGGAAAACAGAAGCTAGGTGACTTAACAGGCTTAGCTGTCATTATTAGCAGACCACAGACAGACATAAACTGGCCCCATTTAACAGGGCCACAAGTTACTAATCAAGGTTCACTTGAGTCATTGTGGCATTAGGCCCCATGAACTGGTCTAAAGGTGGGCAGTATGACAGACAAGAGGGGCAGCCTGTGTAGGGTCTGGCTTGGGGCCTCCCTTTCTGCCTATTTGGGATGGAGGACTACGCCCAAGTCCTTGTCATGGGCTTGAGGGTAAATAAAATCTTACCTCATCAAAATACTTTACGATGTATTTGTAGATTTCTGTCAAGGCCACTTCTTCATTAAATTCATTTTCATGTTTCTAAAAGAAAGGCTTTGTTGAGAGGCTCTGAAATACATCTATTTTTGAGTAACCCCATTATAAGCTTACTTCTGCTTTTTAGTAATACCTTAGATTCCTGAGTTAAGAATTCTTCCATTTCTAAAGATGATAATGGAGGCAGATCCCTGATTGCTTTGTAATAAGATTTCACTTCCTCTTTGTAGGTCGGTATATCCTTGGCATAGAGAAGTTTATTAGTTGGTGCTTCCTGAAAAACAGCAACAACCACAAGAAGCATAAAAAGCCTTGGGGGGCTTGATAATGGTGCAGTCTGACTGAACTTACACAGGCATTACTTCCTGCTAGCAAGGCTGCAGGCTGCAGGCCTCAGTCAACGTTGACTGAGTGACTGACTGCCATCCAGATAGCTCTGGTGAGTCACTGTTATTTTCAGGCAGATTAAATGCTAATATATTCAGCCTTCCTCTCATAAAAGAACTAAAATTATTATTTTTACATGATTTTGAGTTACGGTAACAATGGAACTTATTTCAGTCATAGTTCATTACTAATGGTCGTTCAAAAGCCTGAATTAAAACACTGCGCTCATCCTCACCCACCAGTGAATTTTGGCATGTATAAAAGACTTGATTGTAGTTCTGATTGAGCCCTTTTATATCACTAAAACTGGTAAGTAATTGGCAGTGGCAGATTTTCTAGCTTGTCCCTCATTTCATTAGATTATAAAGATCTTCCGGTTTCTCAGGGAAGCACATGGTGGCTCTGACGTCTGACTTGCAAAGATTCCTTGGCAATTGGAGTGGTGATATGGAAGTATAGTAGTGATAATATGTAAACCACTAGATGAAGAAATCATTACTCGCAAAAGTTTTAAAAATCTCAGTGAAGATAGGCGAATTAAT